AATGATGTGAATGTACTATAAAGACAAAAGTGGTACGAGGTATGTCTATTGTATTTAAGCTCCCACAGTAATTTTCCAGGGAAGTTTAATGAATGTCATTGTACTACTGTGGTATTTCTGACCATGAGCTGCATATGCTGAGTCAGCTGGATCAATGGATTTCTGTCCACTGGTACTTTTTCCAGGTCATCGGTAAAGGCAGTGAGAAGTCAGACGACAACTCCATAGATGAGAAGTACCTCATTGCCACCTCTGAGCAGCCCATCGCAGCCTTCCTGAGGGACGAGTGGCTCAAACCCGAGGACCTGCCCATCCGCTACGCCGGCTTCTCCACCTGCTTCAGACAGGAAGTGGGCTCCCATGGCCGAGACACCCGCGGGATCTTCAGGGTGCACCAGTTTGAAAAGGTCAGAAATGTCCCATTATTGTCAGTGAAATACATTTCAAATACATAACTAAAAACTTCTCTGATTATTTCCCATAACATGCACCAAAGTAGTTTGAAAGAGGATAATAAATAAAATGTGTTTTTTAAAGGGATTCACTTATTTACACTGATTTTGCTTGTGCAGTTCATCCATTAAGTTTTCCTCTTTGTCTCCCTCTAGATTGAGCAGTTTGTGTATGCCTCCCCACATGATGGCAAATCATGGGAGATGTTTGATGAGATGATAGGGACGGCAGAGGAGTTCTACCAGACGCTAGGAATTCCTTATCGCATTGTCAACATTGTCTCCGGTAGGTGTGACACACGCACAATTTTAGCTTTCTCAAGTTTGAAGCATCTAATAAACTAATACAAAAGTTTTATTGCTTTGGTTTGTGACCTTACCGCCTTTTAAAAATGGTCAGGCATAATAGATCCATGATGTATGAACAAGTGTCATTGTTGTTTTTGGTTAGTCAGCGGTTACTCAAGACAGAGTCAAGAGTGAGTAGAATGTTACAATGAAAGTTAAGAAAGAGAAGAAGGCCCCTGTAAATCCAGACTGGTGCATCTAACTTTATAATCAAATATTCAGTCTGACATTTGAATTAGAATCTGAATTATTTTTTATTTCATTTTTACTTCTCGTTTTATGTGTAGCAGCAAAATGTCAGACTTTTTTTCGAATACATGTCTCATAAATTCTGGAGGAAATCAAACAAACACAAAGTAAACTTCAGTACTGTTCAGGTCCTGACAACTTGCGATGAGTGTTGGTGTTTATTGTTAAAGTGTAAAGTGAGCGCAGGTCAGCAGGAGTGTGGATGGAGAACACTCAGGAGCCCTGGCAAGAGTGTACTGTTTCATTTTTTTAAAATAATGTAACACTGCATCTAAACATGCATGTGCACAGGTTGTTGCAGGAAAAACTCAATACAACAAACCCAACAATAAAATTGTTTGTTTGTTGAAGTTCTAGATTGTTGGGTTGGTAAACTAAACTCCCTGCTTTGAGAAAGATTTTTATTTTGATGTTTTGTAAAATTAAACCTGTTGGCCGTTCAAATGTCATCAGATGAGGCTCAAACACCAGCTGCCACTGTGATACTAACTAACTGTGTACATCTGCTTGTCATCTCAGGTGCCCTGAATCATGCAGCAAGTAAGAAGCTGGATCTGGAGGCCTGGTTCCCTGGCTCAGGCGCTTACAGAGAGCTGGTCTCCTGCTCAAACTGCACTGACTACCAGGCCAGGCGCCTCCGCATCCGCTATGGACAGACCAAGAAGATGATGGACAAGGTGAGTGCTTAGTTCCAACGCAGCTGTTTATGTAGCCAGGATGTGAATTCTGCCTCGGCAGTTAAGGGGTTGACCGCTGAGACTTGCATCCTCGTTCCTGTCACAGTTGCGTGTACAATCAGCGCAGTCAAAAATTTGGGGCTGCAAGCGAGTCCGCATGGGGTGCATGCATAGCCTTGTGGACATGGGTGGATGACGACATTAACTGCCTTGGGTGGATTTATAGCCAGTAAACTATGATTTGCCTCCTTTTTTCTTCATAAAGCAAAAACATTTTACTCTGCTGCACTTAATGTTTTTAAAATTAATTAACATAGTACTTAAAAACAACTTGATGCCGGTTTAATTGACTGCCGTGTCTTTACCGTGCTTAACTAATGCAAAGCGTCCTTGGGTCCTATGAAAGACGTTATATAAATTCAAGCCATTCTTATTATTACCCATCTGATCAGAAAGTTAAATACATTTGAAATGAGAAGGGCACTCAAATCCTGGATCCACTCGTTTATCCAGATCCGCTCCAATATTGTACGGGTTATCCTTAGGTCATGCCCCACCCGTGACAAAATGTTATGGAAAACGGTTGAGGAGTTTGTGTGTCATGCTGCTGACAGCCAGAAAGACAAATGCCAATGAAAACATAACTTCCATGGCAATCGAAGTGTAAGAACAATGAGTACAGTTGTTGTCCCAGGACTACTTGTACCGCGTGATGACAGCAGCTCTGAAATGAGATGTGAGCAGTGTTCATTATGACACTTCTTGGGTGCAGTCAGTTTTTCTTGGAAACAACAAACTGTCATTCAAATACCTGGATGGATGTGTTTTTCCTCTGTGGCTGCATGCTGGAAACACTTAGCTGCACATAGATGCGCTGTATGAATGTGTGTGTGAATGTCAAAACTGTACTGTAAAGCGCAGTCATCAAGACTATAAAGGCGCTATATAAACACAGACCATTTACTTCCTCTCTGTCTGTATATTATGCAGGCGGACTTTGTGCACATGTTGAATGCCACCATGTGCGCCACCACTCGAGTGATGTGTGCCATCCTGGAGAATTACCAAACCGATGAAGGCATCATCATTCCAGAGAAGCTCAGGGACTTCATGCCTCCAGGTAAGCTCTGCTGCATTCTTAACATCTGGCGTGTGCAGTGCTCATTTACAGATTACAAATAGCTGTTAGGGGAAAGGTCAGACATTAGGAGTAAGGTGATTTTCAAAATCTCCATTCTGGCAAAGTTTTTGTCCAAGGTGAGTGTATGCTGATTATGCTCAATGTAATCACTAATAGAAGGTTTATTTAGAAGCAGTCCGATAAATCTGCCTGGACCATGTATTGGCCTAAATTAGCTGAGATATATATATATATATGTGTGTGTATTAGTGTCTGTGCATATCAACAAGTAAAAATAATTTTAGTATTAAAAAATTATAAAGTTTGTCCACCAGATGGCACCAACATTTTTCTTTTCACCATAAAATGTCATACCTAGTATGTCACAATTTTAAGAGAGAGATTTAAAGATTGCTTGTTTATATGATGTTTTTTTATTAATTATATTACCATATTAAAATGATCTACCACAGAAGTCCAGTCTGACATCAGTGGGGTCTCTGAAGCATGAGTAGGGATTTCTACTGCTCAGGCTTTAACGTTGAATTAAAAAACAAACTATAGATGTATTTACTGGTCTGTCCTGGGAGGTTAAAGTGTTTCAATTCATGCTGAGACAAAGGAGCAAACCCACAGCTACATGCTTCGGGGCTGCAGAAGAGTGCATGCTGACAATTGATAATATATATATGTCTGCACAAGTTACAGATAACTACATTTTAGCACTTGACACATTCCATCTTTTTTGTTTAATTTGTCCAAAAACTGCAATGTAAAATCAGCAGTGTGAGATATAATGTTTTAAATAGTAAAAAGAGTTTTATTTTCTTATAGGCTTGAATGTCTTTTTTTTTTCTGTCCTCCAGGTTTGACAGAGATCATCAAGTTTGTCAAGCCTGCTCCTATTGATCAGGAGATGGCTAAAAAAGCAAAGAAACAGCAGGAAGGAGGAGGAGGCAAGAAGAAGAAGCAGGGCGGAGGAGACCGGAACCTGCCTAACGCCATGGAGAGCATGTCCGTCAATGACTCATAGGCTCCAGTACACAACAACCGTGCCACTTCACCAACCTCACAGATAGAAACTGATGGACTAGAGCCCAGTCAGTTTCTCCCAAACTTTAGCAGTGGTTAGAAAATGGAGAAGTGAATCTCCCAGGTTGGCACTTGTTATTTTCATCACCGGGTACTGAAGGTCTGGCTCTATCCTATCTGTGTCTATCTACCAGGATGGTGTTCTTTTCATCTCAGCTGTTACTCCCCTCATTCTCTTAAGAAGGGATCGCTCTGTGCTCTCACCCATCCACGGTCTACTTCAGAGTCCACTCACCACCTGTCTCATCACTTCTCTCACGTCTGCAGCAACACTGAGCCTAATTCAAACAGATAAAACTTCCCTCGGACGGGACAGAGCATGTTCATGTATTCACATCCAGCTGATTATGTGACTGGTGTGTAGTGCAGATGAAGTGTTGATTGTTCACAGGTACACGGGGTTGTTTTCCAGCTGTGTTAAGGAATCTGTTCTAGACATTAAAAAGTGTGGTTTCCAAATGTTTTGGTGGTTTGTACAACTGATCTATTACTGTCTGGAATCATCATTCATCAGCTTTTGTTGAGACCAAAACTTGCAACTCTTCTGTGGTGACTTCACGTCTGAAATGGATTTAAAGTTGTAAAGAAAATATCGAGGAGAAAAAAAAAACGGGTATTTTAACTGTCTGCGTTAGGCTTTCCCTTCATGCTGTCTCTGACCACAATCTTAATTTTAACCGTTGCTCTCAAGCTGATGATTAAGACTCTGACATTGTCTTTACTTGCGAATATAAAGATATATCTATTATGAGCATTGACAAAGTGGCACTCACTGTAAACAAATAAATACAGGTGATACAGAAGTAACATTTGTGTGGCTGGTTTTTCTGAGTGCTTGACTTTACATGTGTATAAATGTACACTCATTCTTTTATTGTTCATTAGAATGTGTCCACAAGATAAGGTAGATAAGAAATGCTTTATTCATCCCACACTGGAGAAATTTGGAATCTTCCAGGCCGACAGAAATGTGATAAGAGGCAATAAGGAAGACCTGCAGGTTACTGATTAACTCCAATAGACTTTACACCCATATTTTTATACTTCAGGAAGAGGATTCATTCTGCACGTTTGCACATTTACAGAAGTACGTTATGTCATTGATTCAGATATTTCTGTAGCTCTTAATGTTCGTTTTTAATGTCTTGATGTTTCACTTGCAGAGAGCAGGTGTGTGAAGCGTGTCGAGATGAGTGACACTTCAGAGGACGACAATGAGATCTCCTTTCGGGTGAAGGTAATCAGAGTTTTGACTGTTAAAAATCGGAAGCAGCAGAATAAAGTAAGAATTGAGACACTTTTGTTTAGGTGTGTCAGTTGGACGACAAGGTTTTCTTTCTGTGATTCAGCTCAGTCCTGTAGCTATGTAAATATACATACACATACCGTATATTCAGCATTTTGTATTAAAACATATTGTTTGAAACATGGTTCTTCTGTGTCTCTCTCTCTCAAAACTCCAGTTTCTTGGGCGGGTTGAGGTGGTTCGCCCTGATGGACTACACATCCTGGAGGACGCAGCTCAGAGCCTCCAGGTCAGTCGCAGCTGTTTTAACCAAACTAGTATCATGGCAAAGCCAGCCAGACTTTGTCTGTCCACAACTTTGGTATGGACTGAATTATCTCAATATCTACTGGAGGACAAAATGAATACAGACATTCATGGTGGTGAATGTCTTCACCAAATGTAATGGCAATCCATCGAATAATTAAAAAGGATACAGACTTTTATGATACCCAGACAATGAATCCAAATGACTTTGCTGAGTCACACACTTTTCATCTATCATCACCATGAGGTTCATTTAGATGAATCCTCTGGGTACCATGAAAGTCTGTATCCATTTTTCGCAAATCCATCCAGGAGATATTGAAGCTAACAAAAGAAAAAAAAACCCATCAACCTCATAGTGGCGCTAGATGAAAAGTGTGTGGATCATGAAAGTCATCCTCTGTGTACCATGAAAGTCTATAGTTTTTCTGCAAAAGAGTTTATATATATATGTATTCACTTTTTATTAATATATAATTAATAAACCACCACCAATGTCTCCTTCTCTTTGTCCCTCTCTTCTAGACGCCTGATGAATACTCCTCAGAAAAGTCAACCAAGAAGAGTAAAGTCCACCTCTTCCTGTCCAGAAGTGATATAGACATATTGGAAAACAAAACCAAGGTGTGTACCACTTATCCCACCAATCAGAGGGTGCATAAAACTTGATTAAACAGCTTTCTTACTTTGGCCTTGAATCATCACTTCCCGTCTTCACATTATCTTTCCTATACCCTCAGTTCCTGTTGTACCCGTGCCCTCTCTCCACCGTTTCCTTCTGTGCCCTCTTGCCATCCTCACCCAAAGTCTTCGGCTTTGTGGCCAGACACCCTGCAGCCGACATGTACCACTGTTATCTGTTCCAGAGCAAGAAGTTTGTGAGTATTCCCCTGTACAGCACAACACACACTATGCATGCACTCCCTGCAGGAACGATATGGTGATTTATTGTTTTATTTGGGTAAAGATGGAGGACGCTCATATAACCACTGGTAAACACTGAGATTAATGAGATATTCAGGCTTTCAAAGTGTCAGATAAAAAATGGCATCTCATATTTTAAGTCCTGTCATGTATTTGTTGTGTCTTTGCTTTTTATCCTGGAGCACACCTCTTCTTGTCATACATTTTGAAGCCCATGTCGATGTTTTAACAAATCTTGATGCTGCTACCTCAGAAATACAGCAACATCCAATCAGCTCTGTCTTTTCCTGACGTAAACAGGCTTAACACCTTTGTCTTCTCATACCTAGGCTGTACTGCAATGCACTATTTACATGTACCAGTCAATCCCCAGTGTCTCAGTGTCAGCTTGTGCACAACACTGCTGGTCGCATTTGAACCAACATCCAGGGCACATATCTCCAATCCTCGTCGTCCTTCAATAGCTGTCAGTTAAATTTAGGTTTGATTTTAATATTCTGTGAATAACTTTTAAGGCTCAGCACGCTCTGTCCCCCAGTTATAACTCCAGGCTGTAATCCAAGATCTTCCAACCAACAATTACCAGTACTTCCTAAATCGAGGCCGGTAACTAAGACAGTCGCAATCAGGTCTGAGGAGATTAGACCTACTAGCACTTTATCGTTTATCATTGCTTAAAACATATTTTATAGGAACGCCTTCTAATGCCTGTTTTTGAACTCTTTTTCACGTGTCTTGTTTATTTTTAATAGCTGTAGAAATAATATTGTGTTATTATTTAAGAAATATAATATAATGATATACTGGACTTCTCTAACATCATTTCTTTAGGCTCATGTGCTAGTCTCATTGATTGGAGATGCGTTCCGAGCATCTAAGAAGGAGAGCGTCAGGGGAGGACGGGACCTGATAGTGGAGGCGCTCAGACATAAGGTTAGCTCCATTTATTGTTCACCACTATCAGGGCTGAACAGTCCTTGTCCTCCAGTTAAAGCCACCTCATATCACTATGTTATTGTTTGTACTTTATTTTGGTTTGTTCTCAATATACATCCAGTGCATTGCTTTACAACTGTCTCCTCTGTCCCACTCTTCTTCAGAATAACATGCTGCAGAGAGAGAACTCTGAGCTGAAGAGGAGGCTCGCAGGACAAAATGACTTCTGACTGTGCACGTTGTTCCATTTGTATGCTCAGTCAATACTTGTCATGTATGAGGAAATGTTTGCAATGCAATGAAAAAAAAAACATTCAAGCAACAGAGAAAAGGGGAAGATGAGTGAAGATGAGTGGAGGGAAGATGTAATTGTTTTTGGTTGATGAGAAAATGCCATAAATAATAATAAAAAATAATGATTATTCCAATAAATGGGATTGATAAAGTACATCTATCTGTCTGTCTGTCTATCTGTCTGTCTGTCTATCTATCTATCTATCTATCTGGCTGTCTATCTGCCTATCTATCTATCTGCCTATCTATCTATCTGTCTGTCCCTCTGTCTGTCTGTCTATCTATCTATCTATCTGCCTATCTATCTATCTGTTTGTCTATCTGTCTGTCTGTCTATCTATCTATCTATCTGTCTGTCTATCTATCTATCTATCTATCTGTCTGTCTATCTATCTATCTNGATAAAGTACATCTATCTGTCTGTCTGTCTATCTGTCTGTCTGTCTATCTATCTATCTATCTATCTGGCTGTCTATCTGCCTATCTATCTATCTGTCTGTCTATCTATCTGTCTGTCCCTCTGTCCCTAGATCAACGCACACCTATGACACTAATGATGCCTTCACGGCTTCAGAAATAGTGTGTGTAATTTTTCGATTTCGGAGCTCAGAACAAAATGTTCTCTAATGCCAAATGGAAACCCAGATTGACGCCGGGGACGATTCACTCAGTGACTGTAAATAACTACTTAAAATATTTTACGTTTGCAACTTATGGTAGTAAAACGATGAAGCGAATGGGTTTTACTGTGTTTTGTTAGTGTGATTTTTATAACACACTCAAGGCCATTTGGAGCTATAAACCAGAGCGAGTCCAGGTTTAACATGCGGATGGTGGACTGGCGGTGGCGGTACGCAGGGCACTTGAAGGCAGCACCTCGGTCTGTGTGGTGGTGTGACAGCAGCGACGTGAGCCGCAGTTTTACAGGATGAGCCACAGACCGTCGGTCATGTCGGTCACGATGAGCGCTGTGTAAATAAACAGGACCGTGTGATGGGAGCGTGGATTCACTTTGTGTGAGAGACGTGAGTAAAGTTTGTTGGATGAAGCTAACTAACGCCGCACACAGCCGGTGGTAGCTAACTGCTAACTTGTTGAACACTTGTTAGCAAACTAGCCCGCGCTAGCTCAGAGCGACGTTCACGCTCCGGACAGTTGGAGCGAGCGGTCACAGTCTGCGTGTGTCAGCTGCTTTGACACGAACCCGTGTTGTTCTGCGTCCTGCTGCTCCTGGGTCAGTCTGCCTCAACTCCTGTCTTCGGGCTGAGCGGGTCGTAGTCAGCACACGGGCTCGATTACTGTTCGTAAAGTCAACGGTGGAGACTCTGGCTCTGCCCGGCGGGGTGAGGCGGCGCCATGGGAACGCGGTGGTCGCGAAGCGGCAGCAGCTTGTCGCTGCTCCCGGAGAGCCAGAGCTCTGGACGGCGGGGGGAGGACAGGGACTCCGATGATGACTCTCTGGACGGGCTCGTCAGGCGGGAGGACATTGCCCAGTTCCCGTACGTGGAGTTCACCGGGAGGGACAGCATAACGTGTCCGACATGTCAGGGCACCGGACGAATCCCGTCAGGTGAGTGAGTGGAGACCATGGGAGCGACAGACATAGACTGAGTGACGAGTTTCATTTTCTCTTCTTCGAGGACCCTTAACTGATCCTGGGCTTCTGTTCGACAACATGTGCATGTCTTAATACAGGAAGCACACGAGGGACCAACGCAGTCAAACATTCTAACATGCAGTAAAAAAAAATACTCCCCTCTTTGCTTGGGACCCCTCAAGGACCCTTGGGGGTTCCTGAACCCCCTTTGTGAACCCCTGTCTTAAGTCATGAGTGAGAATGCATTGAAATACTGAATATATAGTGTTTTCACTGAGTCTTTACACTGAGTCTTTGGTGTACAGATTATTTGGTGAGACCACGCTCTCTCTGTTTGAGTATGTGCAAACAGCTTGTACAGTAAATAGCACAAATGTTTACAGTCGCCTTCATGCTTCAGTTCATGTTTAATGTGCCCGGCCTGTCATTTAAACTGGTGCAGTGACAAAGAGTTTGTGTAAGCAGTGTGACTTGATGAAACACACACTCGTGCACACGTATTGTGAGTGGAAACACCTGACCTGTTATCTCCCTCCTGATAGATCAAGTCAATGAACTGGTTGCACTGATCCCGTACAGTGACCAGAGACTGCAGCCCCAAAGAACGTGAGTATCTAGTAACACAGTGGTAAGCAAAAGTAATGGAACACTTTTTAATCTGCATTTATGTTTAATTTTCCTTCAAAATGTGGTCATATCTTTATCTGAGTTACAATTATGAACAAACACAATCTCTAATCTAATCAAACTAATAACACACAAGGCATTGTGTTGTTGTTTTCAACATTTAATGCATCTGATGCATGATCATTTAAAGAGTTACGGTCAATATTTGAACCCCTGAGCTAATTACATCAAAATAACTAACTGTAGTCAGTAGTTAATAAATCTGGAGTCTGGTCAATGAAACAAGATTGTGACCTGTGTGTGTTAGAGCTACTTCAACTTAAATAAACAATCATCACATTTAGAATTTTCTGCCCACAACAAACATCTGCTGGTGTGAACCATACCTCCTAAAAGAGAGATCTCAGAAGACCCAATTGAGTCACGAAGAGTTTAGTCATCTGTCTGTCAGTCAGACAAGTTCTGTATAAATTAGAAAGACACTCTGCAGAGCACACACCTCAGCCAAGGCCCAACAGATGAAACCATATAAGTTCAACACCAAAATGTTTTGTGGACTCATGGAACTAAGGTTGAATTGTTTGGGTAGAACACGCAGCACTATGTAACATGATATAAAGAGGGAGGGGCATGCCAACATGAAAAAATCATTGAAAAAAATTGATAGAAGGCAACATCAGGATTTGCTGGGTCTCCTTCTCCTGTGCACTGTGCAGCTCAATATCAACAAGGGGAAAATGACTTCCCAAGCTTATTCAAGTATCAAATGCTGCTTTCAGACATGCACTGATCTCTGGATATTCTCCTGAAATTAACACACAACAGACAGAACTAAAAAAAAAACTGGTGGAATACTAATATCTCGGAATGAAAAAGAGGTGACGCACATGTCAAAGACAGAGATGAAGATCACAAGATTCAAGAGCTTTTGACTATCAGGGGAGTTACTGGTGTCGGTATGCTGTTAACAAAAACATGTGATTTCAGCAGCAGAATTTATACATTATGTCCTGCATCCTACATGTTCGACTCAGGTGCCACACCTTACCTGAATGCTGCGGAAATGTTTCTGTTGTTGTGAACACATCTGACTCGGACAATCTCCTGCTGTGTTCTTCATTTGTGAAAGGCAAAGTCCGAAAAATGTCCAGACATCGTAAGAATCTGTCTTGGAAGAAGCTGCTCTTTAGGACAGTAAATGCATTGTATCCGTCTTCGCTTGTGACTTAGATGAAGTCAGATCACATTTTATGTCCAGTAAATTCAGAAAACCAGGACGATTCACATTTTCTCTACATTGTACGTATATCTGCATCTGCCAATCGGGTTGCTGCTCCCTCACTACGAGCTAGTCACTCAACAAGATCACGACTGTTTGCTGTCCTGGCTCCTAAATGGTGGAACGAGCTCCCTATTGACATCAGCACAGCAGGAAGTCTACACATCCGCCACAGACTGAAGACACATTTCTTCCAACTACACCTTGGTGAAGAAAAATAAATGGTTCAGTTGCACTTACATGTAGCACTTTGTAGTTTGGCTTTTTCGGAGCAAATTGTTCTTACTTGATTCTTGTTGTTCTGGGTTTGTACCCTCATGGTTGATGCACTTATTGTATTGTCAGCTTAATCAAATGTAATGTGAAGAATATCTCTTTCTTGGAACTGAATCTCTCTCTATATTCCCTTTCTGTTTCCGTTGTAGGAAGCTGTACGTGGTCTTGTCAGTTGTGCTGTGTCTCCTGGCATCTTCACTGGTTGCCTTCTTCCTCTTCCCTCGCTTGGTGGTCGTGGTGGATGATGGGATACGCTCAGTGACTGTTCAATTTGACCACACCAATAAGAAGGTCCTGATGAACATGACGGTAGGTCTTCTCTTCATCCTGCAGCAGCACACCACAGTGTAACACATTCACTGAATTACAGTTGCAATTACATGTTGCAGCTGAATACCCCTCACCTCACCTTCCCCTTCCAAACATGAAAGAGAACCTGTGGTAGTTGAGTTAGAACCAGTTGTCATAAAAACTCAAAAGGGGTTTAGTTTGTCCTATTCGGACTAATGTAAAAAAACATGACGACCTCCGTAGAGACGACCTGCACCACATTCGCACATTTGTGGCTTTTCTCTGTCATGTGTGATAGTAAAATTAAAATTGATGGGTTTTGGGCTGTTGTTATTTTAAAATGCAACCTCAGAGTCTGGGAAATATATTATTAGCAGTAATTGTAGCAGTTAATTAGTAGTAATTGATATTTTGTCTGCTATATTTTCTCTACTGTCACAATTTCATCATGTGCTCAACTCTATGTGTGAGATTTTCCTCATTAGTCCAACTCTTATAACATCCACCAGATGGCACCTATACCACTGATCCTCTCGAGGGTCTTGGGGGGAGCTGGAGCCAATCCCAGCTAATAGTGGGGTGCCAGCGTATCACAGGGCCAACACAAAGAGACAAACAACCTTTCATACTCACATTCACACCTACGGTCAAATTTAGGGTCTAACATAACAATTCAATCTGCATTTTTTTGGACCCTGGGAGGAAACTGGAGAAAACCCACACAGACACAGGGACAAAATGCGAACTCCACACAGAAAATGGGACGGACGGGCAGACAGTTGCACAGTTACAAGACAGTAGGGGTTAATTTTCATTCTTGTCCATGGCAAACAGTCAGAACTATTAACAAATTATTAAAATATCTAGTATAAAACTAAAAATAAGAGGTATTTGGAATCGGTGAGGTGTGAAGGTGTAGTGATGTATTAGATGTCCATGTTGTGAGAGTGGCGAAGGGTATGGTGTTTCATATGAACAAAAGCATTTCTCTTGTATTTCACTGTGTTTTTCTCAGAGCACACTGAACTTCAGCAACCCAAACTTCTTCTCGGTGCTGGTGCAGAGCGTGAGCTGCCAGGTCCTCTACATGAAAACAGTGATTGGACTACAGCAGCTAGACAACGCCACCACCATCCTGCCACTGGGTCAGCGTCAGGTACGGGAAGATGTACTCATTCACTTCACATTGTCATACAGTAGCTTTTATATATTTCGAATATGTGTCTTCTCAGTAAATATTGTCTGTATAGTAAATATTATCACCAGAGCTACGTTGAAATTAGGGCGTACTGTTACAGAGTTGAGAATGCAAACAAATGAGTCATATTTTAAACAGGTTGTAGGTGTGTCTGCTAGAGGATGTCATTCTCTGTTTCATTACCCTTTTTAAAAACAAGCTCCCAGCACAAACTGTACAAACTCTCCTGCTCAATGTTAAACGCATGAAGACATTAGTTCAAGAGCAACACACAGTGTCACTAAAGCTGCTTTTAGACCTGCTCTTAACTCCAGATTATCTCATGACAGTTAAAGCCTGTATGTGAGGACACAAATGTCAGAGTCAGATTTGGCTTGTTTCTTTTCTTATTCCCTTTACTGTCAACAAATCACCAGTTTATTCAGATTTAAAGTAGCTGGGAAGATTGTCGCATGACGCATCTTGGTTTTACTATTTTCATGAACTTTGCTGACCATAAAAAATATTATTTAAATAACTGTTATATGCTGATCTTCAGAGGTGCATTTATCAACATGCACATGTAATGGAATGTGTAGAGTTTGTAAGAGTTAATACATTATCTCATTCCAGTATCTTGCTGCGTATAGAATATCTGTTTGTCATTAAGTGACCTGCCCCAGATTTGAGCTTTTGCTGTTGTGTAACTTCTCAATGTCCTGCAGGTAAACTACACCGTCAGTGTGGAGATTGGAAGCAGCACACCCTATGTCTAGTAAGTGATGGTTCTCCAACTAAGCTCAACAAGTTATTGGTGTCATGTGGTGTGGACGCCAGTGTTGTTTTCAAACAATGACCTAGTAGTGATGGTGTAGTCTTGCAAATGTGTCTGTAGAGTGAATTTTCATTGATCCTTCAGTGATTTAGTCAACTGAAGTCCCCAGTATGGCTCAAGCTCCAAAAACACAGGATCCTACATTTCCCATAATGCAGCTCAATAGCATCTTGGGTTAGACCGCCCCTCCCTCCTGAACACCCACACACACAGCATCCACACCTCCAGTTGTAACACAGCTTTTCCTACATTATACAGTTGCAATCTTAGATGCAAACTGAGATGAACCACCTAAGAAGTAATACAACTCTTCCACAAGTAAACAGACTCTGATGTTTAAAAGCTGTAAACCTAAAACACTTTTTGCATAAACATTAAAACCACATGTGAATTCCCCAAAGAGAAAATGAGAGGACTAATGTTTTTACAGGACAGTGATTTAGGTACTCTGTATATCTGCTGAAGAGTAAGTTTACAGGGCTGCCCAAACATTAGCAGCACGATTTAACAACATAAAACCGTTTCTGCTTTTCAGTGCCTTCTGCACCATGCCCAGCATCAAGGTCCACAACATCGTCATATTTGTGCAGTAAGTCACTTTTGTCTCTTATTTCTTTTTGTCCATGTTTCTTCTGTTGTGTTTTTACTTTTATGATCACATGTCTGGAAAAAGTATCCAGATATTTTACTAAAGTAAAAGTACTGATGCATCAGTGTTAAAAATATCAGTCCTTCATTACACATTTTAACTCAATTAAAACAACAGAGAAGCAATCTTAGCTGTCAGGTAAATATAGTGGATTAAAAACTACAATGTTAAACTTCCAGAACTGTTAAGTTTATTTTGGTCATTTCAGTGTTGTCCAAAACTATTTGACACCACAAAACAATCCACTTGTACACTTACACACATTCCATGAACAAAAAAAGAAGAATGTAGCAGAGCAGAAGTAGAAAGCAGCACGCAACAGGAACGCTAAAGTGTAAATGTGCTTGGACTGGTGCACCATCATAACCTTACTACTGCCTACAGAAAAGAAGTAGTTGAGCAGTTTTCTTTTTTCACATTAACTGTGACAGCAGTGTTATCCCATAATGCGGCTTCCTCAGTGATTCTGCATCCATATAGATCTAAAATGTACTTGCCATAATTCTGTCTTTGCAGTTCAGACAAAATAAAAATAATGGACTGGAGCTGCAGCTGCTGTTTCCCTTGCTGACTATCAGGACAGCTATTGGAAAACTTGACATCATGCAGTCTGTAGGAACAGTGACGTACCTACAGGCAGCATCGTGTGCAGCCGCCCGCTCTTTACCCCTCTGTCCTCTCGCCTTGTTTTCAGAACGTCAGTGAAAACCTCATACATGGTGCGAACATCCCAGAACAGCCTGGAGGCCTATCGCTACATAGACTGTGGTTCCAACACCACACGCCACCAGAGAGCCAAGCAGCTCGGGCTTCTGTCCTCCACCGGCTCAGCTGCCGCGTCCTTCAGCGGCCCTATGCTGTGAGTGGAGCAGCCCTGGACTGCATCCCCGGAGGTGTTTGTGCAAACTCCAGAATGTAAAACCACAAACAGCAGAAATACTGCACGATGCTTTCTACCAAGCTCACCCAGAGCAGGTAACACAAAGCCGCTGTTTACTTGTGCCACTGAATGATGACGCCGTTTCCTCAATAACAAGGATGTGTCAAGGGAAGGTTTTGTGAAGTTTTATTTCTGACTGCACATTTGTTTTCCTCAGACAGCCCCTAGGGAACAGACGTGTGGTATTGTTGTGGTTGTTAGGCATCACAGATTGAAAATCCAGCCTCGATGACCTTTTTCCCTAACATGTCAGTATGGCTTTAATTTGTGGAGTTGGGATATTTCCTGCCACCGCAAACTCTTCTGGTTTTTACGAGTGTTAATGGAGCTGATGATTGCCTGGACTCGTGTGAAATAGAGGTTTATGAAAAGGGCAGCTTTGCTAACGTGTCGATATATAGAGATACGTGTTCCACTTGCAGAAATGGCATGCGCCGTTGCGTACAAGCGCTCTGCGGCCCTGGTGAAATGTCAGAGAAAGCCCTTCTCTATTAAAGGGAATAACATTCACAAATGAAGTTCTAGTGAAGTGCCACAGCTTTAATGAACACTTAGTGTTTTGTCCGTCTGCTGCTGTAACACAGGGAGAGCGTCCTTCACCGTCGCTTGAAAGACTGTTAGTGCCATAACACTGTCAAGCTAAGGCTGCTGACTTTCCTTTAAAAAAGGACAGAAGGAGTTGAGCTGCTGCTTCAGTTTTGGATTCAATGCGAGGGATCATTTAGCGATTTTTTCTGCACCTTTAAAATACTGTTACGCTCACATGTTGATTTTTTTTTTGTTGTGTTATTTAACTGTTTCTGAGGTTGACATTGAACATATCAAGGATGGTTTTTAAAGTGAAATGAGTTTGAAGTTATTCCTCAGTGCCCTTTGAGCTCAATGGCTAAGCATAATGATTTTTTAGATTCAGGGTCAAGGTGAGCAATACTTTTCTGAGACTAGATTTAATCTCAGGTGTCAGTGAAGCTCATGTGGTGACGTGATTTTCGATCCTGGTGAAGCTACAGAAAGAACAATTTGAACACAAATATATAATTGCACCAGCAAACCTCATCTGCATACAGTGTCCTCAGAGCTGCTGTTTGATAGATGTTGACTGAAACTGTTCATCATTAAAACACCTCTGCTACAGTATCGGCTCTGTATACAGTCACTTCTCAAATGGCTCATGTCACCATGGAAACGGAATAACTGAGAAATAGGGAATTGATCTTTTTTTTTTAAGGGACTGTTTGTAAATTTATGACTGATTTTACGAGGGTTTTTAAAAATGTGCTTGATTGTAGTTTAAAAAAGATATTAAAGGGATTTGTGAATTAATAAAATTAATAATCAACATCAGTGTTTTAGAATTTGTTTTTGTTTCTTTTTCTTTTTCTCATCCACCTCAACAGGAAATGAATCAGCAGATGCCCTGAATAATGATCAAATGATAATTCCAGTAATTTCTCTTACAAAAATGGCGAACTGTCCATGTTTCTTAAAAGGAGGATCTACTGCTTTTCTCTGTTTAATTTAATTGTAAACTGAATATCTTTGCATTATAAACTTAACAAAACATTTAAACTTAGGTGAAAGGGATCTATATTCAGAAATTTAATGTAGAATAATCCTCATGATGTTTTCACTAGTTCGTTTCATCTAAATTGTATGAATTGTAGTTTTCTTTACCCCAGAAAATACCCTTTTTATTAAATACTTTATATTTACATGGAGGGGACCCTCTCTAAGGAGGTCACCATGTTTTTAGTCCAGACTGGACAAACTAAACACCTTTTGAGTTTTTATGACAACTGAAGCTACCACAGGTTCTTTTTCATGTTTGGAAGGAGAGGGTGAGGTGAGGGGTGTTCAGCTGCAACATGCAACTTCAACACTCGATATCACAAAATTCTACACACTGAACCTTTAAGGTCACTGGGACTTTACAAAACATGTTTGGTCTCGTGAACCAAACAGCTAAGAACCACCTACAGTGAATTTGTTCAAATTTGGTACAAACTTTCACTTCAAGATCACAGGGACCTCATGTTCTGGTGAACGTGTGATACTGTACATCAGCAAAACCCAAAGGGAGTTTCATTACATCTGGCACAAACATTCACTTGCACTCAAGGATGACCTGATGAGAATTTGTAGGTCATAGTTCAAAGGTCAATGTGACTGCACAAAAACCTTTTGCCTTGTGAAACCATTATCTTAAGAATGGACTCACACATTAGATGATTATAATTGGCTGCTTAAAGGTCAAAGCTCTTGGTTGCCTCAGAATATCTTTCCCTTTGGGAAATGTCTTCAGATTCTGACCAGTTGTCTCTTGGACTCAAAGATAAACTGATTAGAATTCAGTGGTTAAAGGTCACAGTGACCTCATATGATAAGAAAAATGGATGTAGACTTAAACTCCATTGGGTGTTGAAGGCATATAAGCAGCACAGCACTTATATCCCTCTGAAAACATAATTAGTAAATTGATTAATTAGTAAAATAATTGTTAAAAGTTCATTAGGCTAAAATAACCACAGACCCAAAGGCACTTCAGGTACCACATCATTTTATTTCTATTCTTCATGGTTTTTGCATACAAAATAGCATAATTATTCTTTTCAAACCACATGTTTTCCTTTGTATGTCTCATACACTGTCCTATAGCTGCATGTGAAAATATATTACTACATAATATAGAGATCGACAAGAAAACAGACCACAATATATTAACGCTGTAATACAAGTAGTGTTTTTCTACCAAACGAGGCAACACACTAAATAAATGCATAGTAAAAATACATGAAGCAATAAGTACAAAAATATAGCTGGATAAAAAGCTTATTAATACAAGAGTGCTTTGTCTTTGGTTAAGTACAGTTTGTCTTTAGGCCACTGTCTTTCTAACACGCAGTATATGTGAATCACCTTTTGAAATTCAAAAACAGATTTACGTAATGGATGTGAAGCAGTGAATGAACACGGCGTGCCTCAACACTGTACGTCCTTTCCCGTCAAGCTTTTTCCCCGTTACACATGCGTTTCTTTAAAAGTGGACGTAACAAAACCTTAAAACCCAACGTGTTCGCCTGAACGCCCTCATCACTCACCACTGCCTCGCACACAACCTCGTTCAGAGTTTAAAAAGCTCACGTTCCTGTTTACTTTCATCAGAGAGTTACTGTTTGTCTCTCGCTCGCTCCGATTACAGAGTATATATGTGAGAGGGAAGAAAACCCAAACATGATTGTCGATTATGCAATGATCGATTAAAGTGAGGGGCGGCGGTGTGGTCGTAGAGTGTGCTGTACATATGTATGAACATCTCATGATATAGAAACTAAATTACACCATCAGGCCTTTGGTCACTTTTATTGAAACAATACAAAATATAAACACCTGCTGTTTTTCTGAAAGGCAGTAATCAGGTCTAAGTGTCGAACCTCACACCTCAGTCGTAACACACACACACACATAGAGGCTGCTTGAATCACTTCCATCCAAAGCTGTATTCAACCATCATTTACCAGGAGCCTGTATCATGAAGTCTCTGTTATTCTTTTACAAATCCCAGAAAGATTTTGCACAAATTGCCCAATCACACGTTAGTATTTCAGTTCTTACCTTCTTTATTCCAGTTTCTGTTTCTATTCTTATTTTTATTTCCGCTACATATTTCCTTGTCAACTCTGATCGATAAACAAACATCTTGTCTTATCGTCCTTGGCTTCAGTGAGACTGGTTCAGTTAACTCTCACTTTACTTAATCAGCTTTGAGCATAGTAATGTGGAAGAGGCAGTGTTCTCTAAACGAGCCAATCACATGCATAATCAAGTTAATATGGGACAAGTTAGTGGCACACAATGTTATTCAGCCACTAAAAGACGAAAATATATTCATAAACTGAATAAGAAGCTGATATACAGGCCTGTTCAAATGTGACTGGCATTTCCACCATGTTCAGTAGTCCCCAATGACTGTTTTAGTTTCCTACAGTAAAATCGTAATTCAATTTTAATCTGTGGAAAACAGAACTACACTGCACTTTTTAATGACAGATAACAAGTCTGACCACAAAGGTTAGTTTTAATGGTGAGCAGAGTTAATATGCAGCTACAATTGCACCCATGTCTGTTGGAGTTTAATTTAATGCTGAAATAAAAAGTGTGTTGCTCCTCAGACAAGTTCTGGAGGAGCGTCTTTGTTTCTTACTTATTCACAGCGTAAGCTCCTCCAGCGTCATGAAACCAGAAAACACCAAATGTAGCAGGTTGATCAACTGATCTGTCGTCATGATACAGGTCCCTGTTAGATGGAGATGGTTTTTACTCTTACTGAAGTTTCCTCATCATTGGAGGAGTTGTAACACTACACACCATGGCTTTGATAGAAAACCGTTTCATTGTGTTTATTTTCCGCATCCAATAATACTTGACAATAGCTGCTCCCAGACATGCACTGAACTCCGGATAATCTCCTGACATTCTCTGGAGTGGCTGTATGTGAAATCGCAAAATGTCCGAGTCAGAGGCTGCGGACTTTCTCCCCAGTAATAACTCCAGAGAATGAACCCATGTGAGAGAACAGCACGACATCCTCTAGGGAGGAAAGAAAAAAACTATATCTCAGGTTGAAAAAGATGCCACACACGCAGAAGACTTGACGAAGATGTGCTGCAAACTAAAACATGACGCCGCAGCAGAAATGATGCGTTACGTTCTGCCTGCTGCACCACCCCTCACCTGAACGCGTCTGAGTGAAGGATCTCCTGCTGCGTTGTTTGTGTTGAAAACTCAAACTCCGGAGAAAGTCCGGAGTTTTTGTCTGAAAACAGCTTATATTAGAAAATTCCAAAAATGTGTTACAGTATATTTTTGTAGAGGTGTGTGTGTGTGTGTGTGTGTGTGACAAAGTGGCAAAGTAACACATGAAAAAAACCATCAGTTGGGATCATGGACTAAGATTTCCTATTGCCTTCTGAACATATTTACACAGATCAATAAGAAAATCTTGGTCACGTCATCACCTGATGGACAGAGATTAGCGTCACGGCCTGAAACTGAGCGAACACAAGCACTGACACTGTCCAGTAAAACTTTCTGTTAATACTTCATGCTGCATGTCTCTGCTTGTATGCTCCGCGTCTCCTTTCCTGTCTTTGTCTACCGCCGCTGCGACAACATGACCTTGTTGATAAAGTTGACAATGGCCAAGGCGGGTTGTTCGGGGTCCAGCTCTGCAAATACGTGACAGACGTTCTCTGCCACGCTGCCGGGCTTCTTCGCCACAAAACCAAACACCCTGAGAGGGGAAAGAGAAAGAAGAAGTGAAGCGTATTTTGAGTTTGTTGAGTAAGATACTGTCTGTTTGTAACAGCCTACACAGTGAGCTACAGTGGATAAATGTTGAACTTGTTTTCATTATTCAAACGTATTTGCTGGATGATTCTTAGCAAGGCTCACACACAATCTGATGCCATGCACAGGCTTTAATATCCATGACTTCTCAGGCAGGGGTGAACGTCTACACCCTTTTTTTTAGACACACATGCAGACACTTTCTCTGAGGCACCAAACACAATCAGAGCACTTACTTAACAGTGGTGTTGTCTGAGTTAGTCCACCTAAAGCCGAGAGAGAGAGAGAAACCGGACTCAGACATACACACACAGGCAAGAGACGCCGGGCAAGCTGGTGCAGCCGCAGCCGACATGCCACGCGATGAGTTGACGTCTCTCATGCACGCTCGCACATATTCATGGTAAAAACAAATGCACTGAAGAAACACATGCAACAGCTCACAGCAACAAATCCAGTGAATGGTCAGGAGAGCAATGAATGATTGACCGGGTTGATGGTGACATTCTAGGTTAGTTATGGTTCCGACTGCAGCTACGAGAATCAAACAGGACACTGGTCTCTCACCTCCTGTCTTTGGGGTCGACGCTGCTGAAGGTGACGCTGTTCACTGGGTAATGTCTCCTGAAGAAAACCCTAGAGGCAGTAAGATGCATTGCATGTAGAATGAAATGTGAGAAATCTTTTTACGGGCTAACTCAGTCATTGCAAAAACAATAATATGAATGCTCTGGGCTCTATCACTGATGAGTCAAGTCTGGATATTAGATATATGGGTATTGTCTTGGGTAACATAACACCTTGTTAAGTATTGATCCAAGGGGAAGTCTCTTACCTGCGCTGGCTGTCAGTGAGCGTGATGCCCTGCGACGTCACCTTAAACTGTACAACAGTGGCAGCAGGACGCGGGTTACGACCCAGTGTAGCATCCGTTGCCTTGGCGATGGCCTGGGGGCCGGTCAGAGACTCGGTTTCCACTGAGTTCAGGTAGAGGACGTTACAGGCTGAGGGAGAGAGAGAGGGGAACTTGTTGACCAATGACCAGCAGTCTGGCTGCTGCGTGTGAGCATGGAGGGCCACGACTTTCAAGTTAAATTCACATCGGTTCTTGTATGTCAGAGTAATTCATTGCAGAAATATTTCTACCTTTATTTAATCTTTTTCTATTATTTAATTTCTAGGAATATTAGTAGAGGTATTAGGTGCGCTCATGTTGTATATGTGCAGTATATGCTCAATATGCTAATTGAGCTGTTGTCAGATAGTCGATGAATGATGGCGACCATAGTAAAGTGACATGGATGGAGAAACTCACCTGCTCCTTGTTTCAGCAGGTCAGCCGCCGTGCTGACGTTACTCACTGGCTGAACCTCCTGCACCTCTCCTACCAGATCTGACAACATGCAGACAAATCAAATCAGCTAAAGACGAATAAAGTGCATTCCCTGTAATGATGAATTCAGATTGTTAAAAGAATAACTTGTAGTTTTTCAGAGAAAAAAACAGATGTCACTTTGGGCTTTAGGAAATTGTAATAGTCTGAAATTTTATCAGCAAAACATTAAACAAAAAAAAAAAGATCAGTTCTTTTTCCTCCTTTTTTCACTCACCTTTCTCTGGGATCTTCAGAGCACATGGCAAATAAATGGGTGTGATGGAGTGTTGGTAGACCAGCGCAGACAGACTCCCTGTGAACCACAGATAACAGTGTATAAACATAATTGTCTCTCCTGTGCCTCCATTAACTTCTACTCACACTCTAGTTAATCTATTTATCCTGTTGAAATACAATTTTTATGTCTTTATATTTATTATGCATGTTAATTTCATCAGCACTTTTTTACTGATGCTCTGACAGTATTTTGATATGACTCTTACTGCTGCAATATGATAACAATTTCACTGATGTGGAACTAAGACATATCTTACTTCACCTCTTTTTCCTTTTCTTTTCTTTGATATTTCTATTTTCCTGAAATGCAGTCATTAAAAGTTGCCCTGAAGCTGGAAGCAGGTCATCTTACCAAAGTAGGGCTCATTCTGACATCCTTTAATCTTGACTCCTCGAGGACCTGTCTCTATGAGGAAGTGTCTGACCAGCTGCTCCAGCGGGTCGCTCACTGGAACAGGAGAGATTCACTGTTAACAAGCTGCAAAATATTATCTTCTACCAATGACAAACTGCAACTGCTGAAAGAGTCTGGTGGCTACGTTGTGCTGCTGTTTCTAAAGAGAAGAAATAAACATGTGAATATGATAAACAGTGAATTTTACCCTTGCTGCTGTGGTTGACATTGGCAGGAGGTGTAGCCACCTTCAGGGCCAAACCATAGGCCCCCTGGAACGAGTTACTGTCCCTGATCAGGAACGTTCCTGGCTCTCTCTCCTTCAGGGCTGCGATTGCTACAGACAAGCACAAGCAAAATAATAGGCAACGTTATCTTCTGTCATTATCAATATTTCCAATATTTTGCTGTGGTTAGGAGAAAGTACCTAAAGTACACTTCACCCTTTCAGACCTACCTTGCTCTCTGGAGATACCAGGCTTGTACCAGAACCTCGAACTATCCTGGACAAACTTCACACTGACCCTATTTGCATTCTCAGTCTCCACAGAGGCCACTCCATCATTGTCGCCTGCAGGGGGTGCTATTTCTCCCACAGTGGGAGAGAACGTGACATGGTGCTGGTGCTGGGTGGTGCTGGCAGCAGAGGGAGGCACGTGGCCCACAGCTGGCCTCAGAGTCCCCGCTCCGTCGGAGGGTGAACCTGCCTGGGCGGGTGGGTGGCGCTTCTCTGGCAAAGGTGGTTGGGGATGAGGAAGGGGGATGGAGATGGTGGAGTAGTTGAAATAGGAGGATGGGTGAAGCTGTGGGGAGTGAGCGGAGTAGCAGTGCCTCTTGTTGGTGTCCAGAGCGGTGCCGTGCTCCATGGCTGGGTAGTGCTGATGCGGGGGTCCGTGCTGCTGCTGGATGTGGTTCTGGTGTTGAGGGTCAGGCCCACTCAACATTAGCCTCCTGCCCAGCGTGGCGAAGCCCGGAACTGGGGTGTCGGAGACAGGGGAACCTTCCATGCTGCTGGATGCAGGCTGGGGGGATGATGACTGATGAGTGTTGGTCGGTTTTGGGGCGTCTGGGTGAGATTCTCTGGTTGGAGATGAGCCGTTGGCCTCGGCTGGGGTCGATCCGGCAGAGCCATTGTCTTGGGTCTGAGGCTGGGACACTGCATGTGCCATAGTGGAGGGCAGAGCAGCGGCCTCTGAAGGGTGGGGGGTCTGCAGTGTGAGTGGGCTGGGTTGGGGGTGTGTCTCTGGTGCAGGTGAAGCATGAACAGGGGATGAAGGAGTCTGACAGTGTCCCTGGTTTGACGTGGACGGTGTCCCAGAGTCAAAGGAAGAAGCTGAAGGCACATCTGGGCTACAGTGCTGCTGGTGGGGAGTCATAGGGGACGGGTTTGTTTGTGCTTTGCAGTGGTTGTGGGGTTCTGTTTGTGTGGGTGTATTTGTGTGTGACTGCGTGTCTTTGGTGGATGATGGCTCTGTGATACTTTTTTGGCTTTCCAGGGATTCAAGGGATTCCTGAACAACTTTATCAGCTCCGTAGCGTCTGTCCTGGGGCTGAGAAGCCTCGTAGTCACTGCTGATGATGTCTGTGGTCCGGATCTCATACTCCCTCCCTCCTGGACTTGGGCTTAAACAGACAACCATGAGGATTACTAACATTTCTAGACATTTATACTCCAACCTACTTCCTAATCTTTATTATCATGAACTAATTAGGGGTTCTAGGATTGAGCGATATGCAAGAAATCAAACTGTTGAATAATGACAGCACGCAGGTGTGTGTGTAGAAGAAGAGCCAGCTGCAAAATAATAATAAAAGCGCCCATTTGTCCAATCCTAATTTCTCCAACTGTTGCCTTATCCTAAAAGTCACATGTCAAATCTTTTATTCTTGATAAAACTCTCTTACATAGTGAAGGAGAATTACCTTTCCACTGTGCGCAGAGGGCTGCTGGTGTGGACAGGAGTGGGCGGTCCAGACATGTCAGACGGCGTGGAGCACGCAGCATGACCTTCTCTGTGGCCATTTCTCTGGCCCCTCTTAAAGGACCCATGGGTAATGTGGTCCCTCCAGCCCACACTCTCACCAGAGCTACGAAGGCCATCTGAGAAAGAACAAGAACAATGGGCCACATTTACAAAAGTTGACAGAGTATCAGCTGAGGCTGGTGACTGGTGAGAGGAGGCAGTTTGTGAGTCATGTGTTAAGAATCTGTCTAGGTAAGCAAATGTTTTCTGTGGATGCTATTGTTGATTTCGGATAATTTATTAACTCCTGTTTCCAATCACGAGAAAACACATTTCTGTGTTTTAATGTGACTCACCAGTGTGTGAGTCAGAGCTGTATGACTGCTGTGAGTCTGGATGGTGATGGTTGTGGTTATGCTCTGGTCCGTTGCTATGGCTGCAGGGCCCCGTCATGGAGGAAGCAGGAGGCAGCGGGGATGTGGACTCAGACTGGTATCCCGAGGCGTAGCCCCTGCTTTCAGACGGCGAAGGCTGGTAAGGCGAGCAGGGGCAGACCTGCCTGGGTGTCTGGTAACCACTGCTGCTGCTGCTGTACTTCAGATCCAGGTGAGAATGAGCGTGAGACCTCGATGCCTCTGGATACGCAGGGTGACCCGATGGCAAAGGGTCAAATGTGAAGGCTGGCAGATCGTGACCCTGTGGGCCATAGGAGGCTACAGTGGCTCTCCTGTGCCAATATTCAGCCTCTCTGTCCCTCTCCCACTGCAGCTCAGCCTCCCTGTCTCGCTCCCAGTGGAGGGACAGCTCTCTGCCTCGTCTGGGTCCAGGATCCCTCTCCCAGTGGAGCTCTGACCCTCTGGGTAACTCTGTCTCCCTGGCTCTCCTAAGCCCCACCTCCCTATGCTGAAGCTCTGCCTCTCTGTCCCAGTGGAAGCTGTCACCTCTGTCCAGCCTCATGCTGTGAAAGTCTTCTCGCCTGATAGCGCAGTCTCTGCATGGGCAGCCAGGGGGCGGCAGACCATCCAGCAGCATGATATCATGGTAGTTGGGGCTGGTGGAGGATTTTGGGTGGTGTGCATGGGCATGGTGGTGGCTGTGAGGTGGGGGAGGGTGATGGTAAGGGCCGTAGTCGTCTTCTCGACAGCAAAGGTGACCCGGGGCAGACAGAGGGTGGTGATGTGGGGGGTTGTGAGCGTGGGGGGTAAGGTCTGGTGATGGGTATGGGCACATATGTCTGGATGAGGGGGTCTCTGAGCAGGACCGGTGCAGGTAGTGAGATGGGCCGCTCTGGCGGTCCCACACCAAATCTGGAGGGGGGAGGGACTGGTGGGAGTGGGGACTGTAGTGCTGGCACAGATCCATGTGTGAAGGAGGAGCAGCTGGGTTGGGGCTGGCAGAAGGAGTCGCCCCGTGGTGCCCGTTGGTGCCAGGGGCACGGTCGAGGCAGTAACCGTTAGGCATGAGGAGAGTACGGTCGCAGCCAGGCTCGGCACAGCGCTGGGACCGGTACCCATCTCGGCAGGAACACGACCGACTGAGCCCCAGTGTTCCGGTTCTCTCAGAGGGCAGGGAATCTCCATCATCCAGGATGGCAGTCTCTCGCTCCCCATCTCGGTTTCCCTCTATGCCACCAAGAAGACGTTCGAGCTCCTCTCGCTCCTGTCTGGTTGGAGGTGGTGGACGAACAGGCTCCTCTTGGCAGTCAGGATGGACAGATGATTGGTTCAAATGGAGGGAATGGCCTGAGAGGGCGGAGTCAGAACCTTGACTGATGAGATGATCAGGTCTATCGTCAGGAAGACCTGCTCCTGGGCTGCTGCCATTAGTGGAGGTGAGAGAGCCAGAGCCTGGCCCCCGACGCTTCTTTATCTGAGCGTAAAGACTGCCATCTAGAGGACCCCTGGTGTGGGCTATATCTGAGACAAAAAGATCAGATCAGGTCTAAGAACTCATCAGCCATAAAAAAAAGACGATTTTGAGCCAGTTAAACATGACTAAAGAAAGGTTTTTTCCACCATTAGAAACACCTTATTTCAAGAAGTGGGATTTAAAGAAAACAGGTGGTGTGTTACCCTCCAGACTGTCCTGGTATCGCTGGTTAAAGTTCTCATAGGAATCCCAGCGAACTACTGGGTCAGCAGTGTTGTAGTCGACTGTGACAGCCGGGTCGTTCTTCTGGTACTCACGGCCTGAGGAAAAACACATTTCATTTTCATTCATCTGCACCTGTTTTGAGCCAAGCAGAGCACTTTGACTCTTACTCATACTAAATACAAAAAGTTTGGCGAACCGACCTTTAATCCTCTCTGGTCCAGAGGAGAAGACAAACTCTACTGTGGCATCTGATGGGAAACGCTCATCTGGGGACAGAGAAAGAAAAACAGATAAATAAATATGTTTAATTTGTTAAAATTCTCCTGAAGTACCTTTTTTTTTAGGTAACATAAAAAGCTTAGAATTCTCTCTGCATTACATCCGACAAATACAAATGCAATCTCCACACGAGACCTGGATTTATAAAAACATACCAGTGATGTGGGGAACCCCATAATGGAATCACACTGTTTCTCTTTCTGCTGCAATATATCAAATCCACTAATACCTTCCACAGATGTGTTTCCAGTCGCATGAAGCCACAATGGTGTGTTTATGTACGTTAGCAACACTTCATTTTGTGGACTGAAGACCACATTCTCAGCTACACATGGGTTCTGTCATTTCAGAGAAAGTGAAACTGTGGAAGGAAATGAAGTAATGAGCATATTCATTATGGACTTAAGGAACACACCAGGGCTCACTAGGCTTGCTTCACTCTCAGAGGGATAGTTAGAGGCTCCAGAATACAGTACAACTCATTTTCACTATACTCGCCTCCAGAGAGCTGTTATTATGTCCAAGATTTGGATTATGATGCTATTATTTAGAGATTTATTCAACCGCGGTATTATGGGCCCAAACCACTGTGAATACGTTCCCACAATGCCAATATATAGAGCTGCTATTACATCCAATAGTATGGTGTGGTGATAATCCCACCATTAACAACTTAATCCTGAATGACCATTTAAAAGTAAAAAAAAAAGAAGCAAAATCCACTTTAGGGAGCAATAAACACTAAATTTGTTCTAGTACACTGAAAGAAGACAATGTATGTAAAAAGCAATCAACCCAGTTTTCCTCTCACAAATAAATAGTTGAACTTATAAGGAATGAAAAGCAGCCTCGCTCACTTCAACACACACCGTGGCTAAAGCCTTACTTGGTCTGGTATGACTGCTAGATTAAGTTTATGGTGGATGTCTCCTCAGAACTTGGTGATAAGATTACTTTATGTTTTAGAATTTACCACAGTGATAGAGTTAACAGAATTATTTGAGAACATAGGACAAGATGGTGACGATCCCTAGTACGTTTGAAGGTCTTCTGCACAATGGAAGTTACCAACTACCAGTAGGTGTTAGCAGGTGCTAGCAGGTGTTAGCAGGTCTTAGCGGCCACCAG